GTGATAGCCCCAGTATGTTGGCTTGGATACTGAAGTCAAATGGCTTTCAACATCCTGTTGCATTTATTTATTTGGAACTCAATTTGGTGATTTAGCATTATGGTCATGGAATATTTTAGGCTTTTTTGTTTTGTTTTCCTTTGGTCCTTATGATCTAAAGCTTACACTGTCTTCTTGATGTAGTTCATTTTAGCATCATGAATTTGCAATTTACACGGGAGGTAATTCCACAAGGCACACACTTTCTGATTAGCTGTGTAGATAAGAGAAATGAGTTTTAGAATGTTTTGTAAGAACTGTACTCAGCCATGTTTAATGAAGCAGAAATTAATGAGTTTTTTTCCAAGTCTAATTTTCAATAATTGCGGTTGTTTGTTGGGCAAAGTTATAGCTGGTAATGGGGGGCATTTTCCAGAGAAGGGAGCTGGGAAGAGGGGGCACAAGCACAATGGAAGCAAATTCTGGTAGAGACTTTTGCCAAGAAGTCTTTTTCCAATTGCTTAAGGAAAAACTTGTGGCACCAGGGTCTGAGAACTCATTTGATGAATATGGAAAATACAGTGTTTCACACCTAAGTGACTAACCTCACAAGCACAGCATATTTATGTTGATTTTCTCACTGCACCCACTTTGCACATTTTCTATGCACCTCTGTTTTTAGAGACAATTTGCAGAAATGACCTTTATTTATCCACTTTTCTAATCTTATTTACCAAGTCTTTTTAGTTACCCATACCTTAGGCACCAGATGCTTGAATAATTATATCCAGTCTTCTGTCTCTTTGTGGTGAGGTTGATCTACTTTCTTTCACTGTGGTCACAGAGGGCTAGGTGGAAGAATATTAGTTTTTCTTGAAAATTCTTTTCCACTTCATTCTTACATTCTGTCTGTCTGAACTACTTCAGCTGCTGAAGACTCTATTTTAGGGAAAAGTTTCATACATATCTTTGTGGCTGAAAATGTTAGTTATTCAGGATCATTTTACTTTTACCTGCTAATTTCTGTTTCTTGCATCATCTTCTACATACTTTGAGATAAACTTGGCACTATGAGATTTCTTTTGAACTAGACACAACAATATAGAAACGACATATATTTGGGTTGTATGCCCTTCATTGTGATATAATGTGCAAGTCATCTGTGTCAGTGGCTTCATATCAGCTGAGACCTTGCCCTCATAAATAACCAGGCTTAGATGTCTGTGTGTAAGTAAATAAAATAGTAGGTGATAGCTCTGCTATAATTCTGATAGGCCTAGCCTTAATTAGCAACAATGTTTCAGTATTTTTGTAATCGAAAAATTTATTTGTAGCCTTTCATGAGATTAACTAAAAGTGATAAAAGGCATGTAGATGTGTAGACATTAGAAGTGGGACATAGGAAAACCTGTAGGAATTGGGCATGTTCAGCACAGAGAAATATCACCTGGTCTTACATGAGATTAATTCTCTCTCCAGGTGTAAAAATATTCTACCACACAACAGACAACAATTATTCTCAATCAGAATACTGAAGTGGAAAAAAAACAGTTAAATATTATGTAATACAATATATCTAAGTGCATATGTATGCAGTAACTTGCATATATATATATATATATATGGAGTGTATATCTAGCTTTGCATGTCAGTGACAACTAACTTTCTATTGATAAAGTCCCAAAGAATGACCTTCAATAAAAGTATTTAAACTGAGGCTTAAATCCTCTCTGGACATCAAAGGTTCCACAGGAGAAACGGGCCAGATTAAAATCTAGTTTGTACTGTTGTCCATAGCCAATAACCATTTTTAGTGGTATTATATCATTATAATCATATAAAATCATTATATACAGTACAGTTATTATACAGTTCTTCTATTTCCAGCCAGATAAGATGAAAGGTAACAGGTAACCATGTTTCCCTTGCTTGTTTTCTCATTATGTGTAAAGCTTTTGATGGCCCCAACGCTGGAGACCTTGCAAGGGCTTCTGGGATGAACTGCAGCATAAATAACAATAACACTAACATCCATGAACTTTGAGCTTGTATTTATGTGTATACATATATATATATATTTATATTTTTTTAATCTGTCCAAGAGAAATCAAATCTAACTGTATATATCTCTAAAAGAATGCTAGGGTTAAACTGTCTTGTTTTCCTTGGTGACATAAGGAGTTTCATAGCCTTGGTTTCACCTGCAATAGGGCACAGAGAGAGGTTCCTGGCTGCTGAGCACCATTTGGGGTGAGGGAGAGACTTGATGCTGGGATTCCATTCCCTGTGTCTGTCCTTCTGCTGCTGGAGCATCAAGGGAGCACAAAGCCTTCTTCCATCCCAGTAAAGATGCTGTGAGAAGAGCTCTCTGGACTTTTGTTGTTTTGTTGGGTTTTTGTTTTTTGTTTTTTGTTTGTTTGTTTGTTTATTTATTTTGAGGGTATGGAAGACCTGGGTGCGTTGGAAATGAGATGTAACTGCCTGCATAAGGTACAGATTTTTGGATCACATAATCCTTAGTCTAACCTTCCTCTTGTCCTGTGCCAAGTGCCTGGCTGTGGGTTTTTAATTCTGCACCATGTGCTGAATGTTTATGGTTTTCTGTGGTTTCTGTTTGGGTACCTAAGTCCTAGCATTATTTATTAGGACCAAACAGTGCATTTCTCCATTAAGTACATGTTTTTAAAGGACAGCTTTTTTGTTTGTAATGAAACATACTTGAACAAAGATGGACTGTATTTATTTCTTTGGCCTTAAAACAATTGCAGTCATAAAACCAAGAAAATGCTTTTCAATTCTTTTCTCCACGTGCCCCAGTAAAAATTTGTTACTGAATAGCTAGTATCTCAAGTAGAGTGCAGATAGATTCTTGGAGCCTAATTGGTGAGATTTATTGTAATACAGCATTCCAATAGTTGTAATGGACTCCTATTCATTGCACAGTTGATAATTCAACAAGTAACTGATTCTAATTTTCAATATTAGTTATAACATTAAAGCTGGCTTTATTAGCCTACTTGGGGATGTTTAAAAACAATTAACCTTAATTTAATGAAGTGGAATGTGAAACTTCAGCTATTAAACTTCAGTTCTACCTTAACTGCTCCAGGGCACTAGGAATGTAGCTCCTAAATTCTGGCTCCTTATTAGCACAGGATTGGAGACTATTCAGCAAAGAAGCCCAAGGTTTGATTCTTCTATGTACTTGTAGCATTACTTATGTAGGTAATGTCATCTATGAATGAAGCTCCCTTCTTAAATTAGTGTCAGGATCAGGCTGTAAATTCTTTGTGGGGTAAAGAATGGTATAGGCCAGTGTTTAATTAAAGAATTGCAAATCTATTGATGATCTACAGAGAGGATTCATTTCAGAGTATTGCCATAAAAATACATAAGTGGCTTTTCAGACAGAGCCCACTTTCTACAGTGCCAAAATTAGTCATGTCTCTACAAAGGAGAGGTTAGGAAAGGTTTCAAAGTAGATCAAAGTTAAACAGTTGCCTGATGGTTCAGCTCTGCAGCACTAAGCCTGCTGAGCGGTCTGCACAGATCCAATATCTGAACTCTGAAGGTACAGACATAGCTTTGCATGAATTATACTGACTGTGCTTTTAGTAGGGCTTTACAAATTGCTTGATCCAGATTAGGCCTTTTCTGGAAGCCCATTAATCCTTCAAGCATTTGCATAATGATCTCAATGCTGTAATATTTGTGTGACAGTATACAGCAGCACTGTCTAACTTACATTAATAATAGTGCAAGAATAATGGAATACCAAATTTTTATCTTTCAGGACTGAGATTGCCACACATTTCAGTGCTTAAAATAGGATTGGGCAAAACTCACTGCTGCTATAATCCCTCACTGACATCTCTAGAAGTAAATGAGTTGTGCACTGACTTTGTCGTGTATAAGTAAATGCTAACTTGAAATTTGATAATCTAAATGAGAAGATAGATTCTACTGAAGATCTAGAATTTAAAAAATAGAAACCTATCATAATGGTACTCTTATGAGAATATGATGTACTTTTTCCATAGGTTTTGATTAAAACGTGATGCTCTCGTGAAAATTCTAAACTCCTCAGCTGAAATAAAAAATAAATAAGGATTCTATAAGTAGTTTGTGTGAACAATAAGGAATAATGTCTCTAGTTTGTAAGTATTGTGTTAAAATGTGCAGGACTACACAGCAGGCAGTACCAGCCTGAGTTCCAATTTCTTTAAGGTGTAGTAGATACTGGACTGTTCCTTTTGTTGGTGGTGGTTTTGTTTTTGTTTTGTTTTGTTTAATGTTTTGTAGTCCTCTATTTACTGCGATAAAAGATGAGTTCAGGTTAACAACAAAGTTTATCTGATATTTCAAACTTTTATTCTTCATAAAGGATCTTCTGTGAACTTTAAAAAATGATTGAAGTATTATCTTGGTCCCTATGTAGTAGAATTGTGTATTCCAAAGTTCCAATTTTACGGCATATTATGAACTAATTAGAAAAGAGACTGAGAAGCAGTAAGGAGTATTAAAGTGGCACTGATGGGAGATACAAGCTGACTCCTTAAATTATCTGTGCAGCGGGTTAAGGCTTATCTTGCACGAACACGCATGTAGCACCTTACTGCCTTGAGTTAAGCAACTCATCCCAATCCAAACTCTACAGGATTGCTTCATCCTGTGCTTGAGCATCTCTCAAAAGAGAGGATGAGATGAAAAAGACACAGTTCCCTCCAAGTGTGCAGCAAAGCTGCAGTGACCAGGTGTTTATTTCTTACTGAAGCCAGCAGGGAACTTGCTACTCACTGATGGATAATCTTTCCCCAGCAGCACCAGAGGCAACCCAACACAGCGTTGTAATTTTGGTCCAGGCAGGCATCTGGAATCCTGCAAACATTATAGCTGTTATTTTGGCTGTGAAGCCTTCAGGCTGGAAACTCTCCTGGTATCAGGGCTAAAGGTGTATTGGCAAGGCTGCCACACAGTCCTGCGTGAACAGTGAATAATCACTCCATTTTCTCTATTTTCAGAAGATTCATCCTCACCAAGATGAGAGTCATTCCAAAGGGAGCTTTCACAGGACTTCGTGACCTAGAGAAAATGTATGTATTTTGTCAATATTTATCAATCAACAACCGTTTTACTTCAAAAACAGCAATTTCTAATTGCAACTCCTCCTTTTACTGCCCATGAGTAACCCCTGTCTCTGAGCTCCATCTCATTTCATCTTTCTATTTAAAAAACAAATTTTCCATTTTTCAGATTATGTTGTCTGAATGTAGCATTGTTGTCACAAATACATTTTTATATCGAGTAGCTGGGCTGCCCTTGGTGAAAGCAGTGGTTCGGTAGGGAGTGTCATTGTAGTTGCATACAGAGAGTTGCAGTCAATGGCTGGGAGTATGTGAGAAGCTTCTTCCACAGGATAATTCTGAAATTCCTAGAATATACAGAGAGCAAGTGTCTAATTTCTGTGAATTTTACTAATAAGCCTGGAGTTATAATTATGAGTGCCTTCGATGAACAGATATATCAGGTACCCATTAGTCTGCTGTATTGCAGCCCTCCAAGACAAGGCTTGATCATATGTTGTAACAGCAAAGGGACTAGTGCAATCGGAAGATGTTGCAATAGAAAAAGGAAAAGCACTCACCTGTCTTTGAAGATGTAGGCTTGCAATAGAAATTCCACAAGGAAGGGATCTCCAACCAGAGATGCAGCCAGGCTGCACCCCTTCACCTGTGCTCCCAGGATTGACCTGGTCCTTTCCCCAGGTGATCAATCAGTGGTTCAGGCTGTGACTCAACAGCCACCAAAAGTCTGCAGGTTAACTGATGCTAGCACCAGAAAAGGTAAAATTCACTGTAAAATATGAACTACTCTGGGGCATATTGTGCTTTTCTAAATTAATGCATATATGTGTAAATCACATATTGTTTAGAAATTCTTTCAGTGTTTGTACCTTCACTAGTGAGGGTTGCAAATATACTGTTTGTCCAAGAAGGGCCTAAGTAGCAGTGAGGAAATGCACTTCAGGGTCAGTGCCATTTTCAGTTCTGTTTTTGTAAGAGCAAAACTGCCTGCATTTTTCTGCATTGTCTTCTCCTTTCATCATCTCATGCTCCTGTTTAAGAATATAGAGGAAGGCGAGCACACTAGAAGGCATAAGAAGTGAAGATGCTAGAGGATTTCAAGAGGTCTTTGTTGAAAATAAAGGTTTTATTTTCTGTGCTCAGGAATCACCAGTTGGGAGAAAGATCAGTGCTGTGTCACCAGTTACTTTGGAACTTGTTTCTCCCCAGTCATGCTGGATTCCTTTAAATGCAGTCCTTATGGAAAAAACATTCAGCTCCCTCGACTGTGAAGTGGGCTGCAAAAGTGCATTATAGATTGCTCCCATTGTCTTTAATTACTCAGAAACCATATGCTAGATATCTATGAAATTAACCATCACACTGAATAGGATGTCTCTAAGTGACGATTTATTGTTAACCAAAATAATTGCTAATGGAAATGAGCTCAGTTTGAAAGTGTATCCGTGTAATCTGTGTACTACTAGAACATGGAGAAGAAATGGGGACATTCTATTGCAAAATACCCTTGAAAGTAGAAGTGTGATAAATATGTAAATGAGACCAATCAACATCAACAAAGAATGAAGTATTTGCAAATGGTGTGGCAAACAGATGAAATTTGAAAAAGCTCACAAATCCTAAACCTAATCCATAAATAATTGATCAGAAATATTCATGATAACGTAGAGACCAAATAAAGTGTGTAATCAAATGAGATATTTACACATAAAAACAGAGCTTTTGTGTGAAAGCCTCATTTCTCTTGCAAGATCATGCACAAAAAGGAAGATTAAGGCAAACTTCAGTTTATCTAAGGAAAAGAGCTAATAATGGTGTGATATCTCCATGTGGTAAAATGTAGATAGCCTGATGTATACAAATGAAATACCTCAATGTAGTATATGCTTGTGTTCTTGTAGAACTAAGTAGGCTAGAAATAAAGAGAGTCACAGTATCTCCTGAGTGTGTTACTGATTCAGAGCAATTCAAAATAAATAAATACATAAAAATAAATTAAAAGAAAGAAAGAGAGAAATAAAAAAGTCTGTACTGTTTCCATCAGTTATCATTTCTAGGTGATTTCCAACAGTGTTTCAGAGAATGAGGTGGACTCACAAATTTCAGGGAACAGTCTTCTTTCTAATCATTCATTGGAGATGAGCTGGTTGAGCACAAGTTAAATCAGAAATTAATCCTCTATAAAAATCTTAACTCGATTGAGTTTACATCCAGAGTGAATGAAGGCTTTTGAATATAGCTTGTTTTCTTCCCATTTGCACTGTCCAAGGGATCTCCAGTATGGACACGGTCTCCTTATAGAAAAAAAAGATGAGCAGGATCTTGAAGTGTCAGCATGGAGCACACGATCTTCCCTCCCTCCATTCTAATCACAAATCAAAATCCTTGTGTTCATCTGTTGCCAAACACAGACTTTGTGTTTGGAGATGGTGATGGTGATTGGAAAATGAAGAAAATTATCACCGGGATATTTTTACTGTTTTGTGATTTTTGAAAGAATGAAAGCCTATCTGGAACACGACCAGCTTCTATTCTTCTTCTTGCCCACTTGGATTCCTTCAGTTACTAAAAAAACATGATCCTGTGCAATCACAGAATCATAGAATGGTTTGGGTTAGAAGGGACCTTTAAGATCATCTAGTTCCAACTCTCCTGCTATGTCTTATAAGACAAAGTTTTTCCCCAGGCATGTTCTAGGGAAAAAGATATTTTGTTAAATAAAATGTTCCAAGTTACAAAACATATTGAAAGGTTGTAATCCTTTGAGATCTCTCTTTGTAATGGTGTAACACTGAATTTTTTGTATTGAAAAGTATTTCAGAGACTCACAGATCTGGGGAGCATCTTAACCAGCTCTGTGCTACCAGCTGTGCAACTTATGCATAGCTCTGGCTTCACATTAATTTAGCAGGAAGGGAAGCAGATTAGTCATTCTTGTTATATTGATATTTAGTTTGTTCCTAGGAAGTTTTAGCCAACCAGAACACGGCAGCTCTTCTTGACTCCTGCTTAACTAACTTGTTTGCACTACCAGAACAGATTAATTCTCCAGTTACTAAATTAAAAGGCAACACCATGCAAACACATACCTGGCAAAATCAATTCAACATGCTCTGCAGCTCCTATGTCATCTTCAACCCACACTAAAACTACTTAATTTGGAAATAAAGCCTAAAGCAATATTGAAATCTCTCTTTTTATCTTGCTAAGTTTCCTCCCAGTTCTGTGATGTAGCAAAGTAAATTCTTGAGTGGTGGTCTAACAATGCTTGACAGTACCTCATATTTATAGGAAGTTTGGTCTGATCCTCAGTAGCTGAACTAATGATGGGGAGATTGGGATATATTACTGCTCTAGGGAGAGGTGAATGCTTCAGTCCCACTTGGAAAAAAACAAACAGGAATTTTATTTCAAATCCCAAGATGAGTGGCTAGTTTAACTTAACCAAGGAAGCTAGACAGCAATTTCAGCTTCAAATCACTATCTGGATGATAGAAGTAGACTGAGGATGCTGATCTCCCTTGGCTTTTGAAATACCCATGTAATGATTTTTGGAGGACAAAAGAAGTCTGGCTTAGGACTTTGGTCATGCTCCTGACCTGTGTCATTAAGGAAAGATGTGCTGTGGAACAATGTTTCTCTGAACAGTGATATTGTATTGAAGCAACAGTATTGCCTCACCCTGTGTAAGCCAAATAGTCTTCACTTTTTTATCCTGAAGCGCAGTTCCCTTGAAAGTTCACTGACAGTTATTTCTTCTTTTGAAAAGTTTGAGTTAAAAAATAATGCTTTATTTCATGATTTGCTCCCAAAATCTACAGTTTTGGGCAAAGGCAAATTTTAAGAACACAAACCATACTGTGTTCAACAAAGCTGGATGAGACTGATCCTTTATGAGCTCTCAAAATCCTAGAACGTGCAAACTTTAAGGGCTGAGGGAATCTGCTGGAGTTGACAGTCCTGCAAACTGAAATCTTCTATCCATGGAAGATAGCAGGAATATAAGCACTAGCTATCTATAGTATCTTCATGATTCTGTAGAGAAAAAAGCTTTGGATCACATCTTTATCTCATCTCTCAGGTCATTCAAGCTATTGCATTTTTTTTGTTGGGATTGCAGAGCTTGTGATTGTTCAAATAGATTCTACTGGTCTGCTTTGCCTTAGATACATTGGCACCAGCATATGTTGTATTTGGCAACCAACCTGATGTACAATGCTAAAATCTTTCTGTTTTGCCTCATAAGCTCAAAGACAAGCCACACTTTCTTATTCAAAAAGAGTTAACATTAATGTTTCATCTAATCCAAAGTGAGGTATTTGAAAACAGTGAAGACTATTCAGGAAAGTATTTTGAAACACATGTTAAGGTTACCAAATCAAGGTGTAACTTGCTTCCCATGAGTGGGGAAGGAACAAAGTTCTTGGCTTGATTTTAAAAGTCTCATTGGGAGACTGACATAGTAGTAGAAAGCATCACCGACTGTAAGTCTTTTTTATCAAATTTGAACCACCTGACAACTCAGTGGGTAAACAATCCTGACCTTCTTCAGCAGTATCCATCAAAACTGCCAGGGTTAGCAGCTGTCTAAGGGATGTCTGTCACTCCCTCCGCTCCTGAAATCAGTTTCAATCAGCCCAAATGTGATTCTGTAGCATTCAGTGGCATACAGCCCAAAAGGAAGGAAAAGAGGAGAGGGGAAGGCAGAAACTGCACAATCAGCTAAGGATAAGCAGTCTTCTGCTCAAAAGAAGGCTGGCTGGCATGTTCCAATTTCTCCAGGTGTTTTTGCATAATGTATCATGTTCTGCCTCGTTCAGTATGCTAGGGGCTGTGATTAAATATGACCATTAAAGCTCTTTTGAGAAAATAGATTCAGTGTAACCAAGACAATTGGAACTTGTCTCTAGGTAGGAATTCCTTTCCTTTTGGAAAGTTTTCCTATTGGAAAACCCTACTAATTTTTTTCTAGAAGCAAAATATGGCTTTGCAGGAGCTACTGCGATGTT